TCCAGTTTTTGAGTGAGGTAGGTCGAGGGTGTATCGTATTGTCGAATGTCCACGTCGTAGTGTGCCATGAGAGCTAGAGAGATCCTGAGTGTTTCCTTGGCTACTACTGGGGTATAGCTTCCATCGTGATCGACTCCCTTTTTTGTGTTGAACGCTGCTACGTTCAGACGTGATTTATGTCGTGTGACATGTCCTGATTTATCCGTTTTTGCCTTAAATACCCATCGGGGGGGAATAGTGATTACCCCCCGTGGTTTGTTGACAACCACAGTGAATGCCTTGCGTTATATCACCAAGCTTTCCATCTCCGAACGTACTGATTTCTCCCAATCGGCTGCGTTTGGCATCTCATATGTACCTTTGTATGTTTTCGGTTCCATTGTTGAAGTTGCTGAATTATACAACAGTGTGCGTAGTGCTGGGAGATCGTCTTTCACGGCGGCTGTCGTGGTACTAATTGACATTTTCACCATCGGCCTCGCATTTATCGAGAGATTTGGCGATTATTTGTCGTTCTTCTAGCTATGTTGCTTTGAGATCGTGTTGTGTTTTGGTAGTCATTGCGGGAGCCTCTGACACAACAGTATGTACTTCGCAATCAGCAGGTTGTCGTGTTGACGATGAAGTTTTTTGTAGCTGTTCTGAGTTGCTCGACTTTTGCTTCACAGTTGGCTGTGCTCGCTGGCTAAGCATATGTTCCGTTGGCGATGTTGTCGCTGCGTCTGTTTGAAATTCACCATTCTCAATTTGGAAGATTGTACTGCTGTTCGTAGTATCTGGTGGTGCGATAGCGGTTGTACATTTTTTGCCTTCGCAAACAAGGAATTTGTCTTCGAACATATAGACGTCTCGGCTTTGTATTATACGCCTGGTCAATGGTGAGTATATACGATACGAGTCCGGTGTTGTGTCTAAGGGTTGCGCAAGGAGAATGCCATCTAGTGTTTTATCGTCGAGTTTGCCATCTGGATCACAGTTCTTGTATGCGATGTGAGACCCAAATGTTCTGAACATATTTATCGGTGATATCATAGCAGGTCCTAGCGTAAAGTTCATATAAGATATTACTATCTAATAAAGCTAATAAATCTAGCATTGTCTTATGTAAAGGTTTTACTATGTATTATTACTAATACATAAATTGTGTATCATTTGTGTTATATATAATAAATAGTTTTTCGTTATAAAATACTATACGAGATGGCTCATAGTATAAAGGTTGAAGGTTATTTTGGTTTATTCTTAAAAATTAAACAAAGGTTTTTATAAACTAATAATTAATAAACTTAGTTTTTACAAACTAAAATATTTCATTATTAATAACACCAACCTCAGGCCGACCCCTAGGGCCTTACCTCACCAACCTGGGGACGGACTGTCTATTTTCTAAAAAAATTTCTCCGCAGGGGTATAAGTGCCGTGGTGGGTGTGTATATATGTGAAATATTTTGTCGTTAATTCTGTACAGCACGTAAAGAGGAACGTGAAAATGAACATTTGGTCTGAACCAGTAGAAAATACGGTTAAAAACGTCGATCCTATTGGCTGTACAAACCCTGTCCGTTTGCAATTGTTTTGCGTTTCTGATTTTCTGCGACAGAAATTTTAATTTTGTGTTTTTGTGTTCAGAACTTCAGATGTATTGATGATTCTGCCAAACGTGTATTTATTTTTATTTTTAGTGTCCCTGTCGCATTGATGGGAAAGATTAGTTAAACCCGTCAGTTTCATTTCCCGGAACTGTGAATATCAGTTCGGTACAACAAATTCATGTCCCTCTGGATTTGGGCCTCGAGCAGAAATGTTCCTTCCGACGACAGTTGTAATTTTAGCGCAGACCCTAATAACCTAATCCAGAGCGCCCATGACAAATTACGACAAAATTAAAAAATACCGACAGGTGGCCAGTACCGACTATGTACCGAGCTTTGCTCACTCCGCCAAGCGGGGGGTCATGTTTCACAAATTATTTTATTTTATTTTCTTAAGTGCCCATTTAAATTCAGTTCTAAAAATATCAATTGGATGATTCTATTACTAGAAATAGATGTTTCTTAAGAGATCTTAAAAAGGCGCCAAAAGTGCCAACCGTCCATTTATTCTAAAAGAATTGAATCTTTATTAGATTTTTAGAAATCCTCAATAGAATATCAATGATGGCTGAGACTCGGCGGCCTATAAAAGTCGAGTGCCCCCTGGCTAAGACCTCAGTCTTTTACTTGTTGCTTTAAAGTAACAAGTAATTAACAACTGGACTTGTAAGCTAACTTACTTTTAGTCTCTTGCGTTTTAATTTAATTAGTCAATTTACTTTAGCTATTAAAGTCCATAACAGTTTACACATTTTTAAGTTACTTCAGAGTAGCTAAAAGTAAACTGACTAGTACACTTACAAGTGCATATTTTTTTAGAATAACACTTAAGTGTTATAGTTTTTACAAGCTAATATAAATATTCGCTTTTAGAAGTAAATAGTTATAACGAAACGCACTTTTAGAAATGCTACAGATTTTAGAATCTTATATCAATATATAAGTATATTGATACGAACACTTTTAGAAGTGTCAATATTGATAAATTTGCACTGACGTGTTAGGTTTATTATGTAAAATTCAGACTAACCAGCTGACTATCGATGTCAAAAAGTTAACGTAAAAGAAAAGTACGATTTCAAAGTAAATTTGCACAATTTGATTTAAGTTTAGCTTCAGCCCTTGGTAATGAGCTAAACGATTAGGTGATGTAAGACTGAGACTATTGTCTTTATGGCTCCGCTCTAATCACTCAATACTTCGGTCTAGATTTATTCAGTGTCATTAACTAAGACCAGATTTCATTTCATTGGATGCATGATATTTCATTCTATATCATTTCATGCCTCGAAACAACCTTCCAATCGCAATTACCAATAAAATAATTCTAAGTCCAACTTGAGAAAAATAAAAGAAATTAAATAACACCATGATGATACAGTTAAATGTCTTACCTATACCCCATCACATGGTACCTAGCTCTCCATCCCATTGAAGGCATAGACGGGCACATCTAGTTGGCCGGCTAGGGGGGATCATTTTCATGCCCCATTTCTCAGTAGGCTATCTCGCGCTGAGAGTATTTGGTAATACAACATGTGTCATCAAGTGTCAATATCACCTGAGACTCAACCAGTGTTGTATCCCAATATTCTGATGGAAAACATATCATAATAGAAAAACCATCATATCAATATCAACAGGGTCTCCGGCCTCTGTCGTATACAATTGTAAATCCAAATATCCAAATTAGATTATTTGTTTGTTTGTTTTCTGTACATCCAATATATCTATAATTAGATTATTTGATTATTATACAGATACAATTATCTATAACTGCGTTTCAACGTATACCAGGTTTTATAACCGTAATAGAGTTTAAACGTTAATACGTTTAAGTTGGCTTATATGTGTTTTGAAGCACATAGACTCAAAAAGCTCACATGAATTGTACAAGCGAGAACAAGAAACGGGGTTCGATCATATAAAATGGCATCAATGCTCATATTATACTCTCTTAGACAAAGTATACTTAGACTTTATAAGATACTCGGTTACTCTATTACATTTGGGTTTAGGTCCTTGAGGTCCCCGATGGCGGTTGGGACGTTTCTAGGTGCATTTAGGCGGTACATACATTCCATAGGACGATTGTTTGTAGGTAAGATCGCGTCCGCGTCTGCCTTGTTCTTATGTAGACGCTTACGAAACTTCTTATTAAAAGCCTTCAATACATCTGGATCATCGAATGCCGATGGAGATAGATCGTATTGTACGCCATCTGCAAACTCCGTGGTGTAGTAAGTGATATCCTCATGTATGTACTTCCCAAGAATGTTCTTAAACTCATAAGACATAAGAAGTGTAGTAGCTTCACGTGTGCGACGAAGGATGATTTCAGTCGTTGGAATTCGATGTGATCCGATATTAAGAGCACTTGAACCGTCAACGTTGTTAACTTCGTAAGTTCTGCTCTTCTTATCGGCCACTGAAATCTTGAATGGTCCAATGTATTTAGCTGTAAGCACAGTTGTATCGGAGTTGTGAGCCATTATGTTGACTATATCGCCTACCTCAAACTCGACTATCTTTTTCGAATCATTCCATCGCTTTTGTCTCTTCTTGAGCGCGATGTCCTTCATCTCTCTCAGACAAGGAAAGACGATGTCTCTGGTACGACGCATCTTCTCTAACCATGGTAACATATGATCTTCTTGAGAATCCTTGTTGAAAGGTACTTGTAGTTCGCTATAACGGCCCCTGAAATAGTGGGCGGGTGTTGTACCAGTGACAGAATCCGGTGTCTCTTTCATTTGTGTCTGTACCCAGTTAATTGAGTACGGCCACAAGTCAGCATCGTCTAGCAGCGCTTCACGCATGAACTCCATCATCTTTACGTGTCGTACCTCATTCGCACCTTGCGTCTGAGCCTTATAAGGTACACCCATTTTGTGGCATGATCCCGCAACGAGTAACAGCGTCGTCATGACGTCTCCTGTAAACTCACTACCGTTGTCGGTACATACTATAGCTGGCCAGCCGAAATCTGCGAAACACTTATATATGCACTCAGCCACCGTTTGAGTTGATTTGTCTTTCAGAGGATATAGTACATTATATCTTGAGGCATCTTCAAAAACGTGGCAGACATACCTATCTTTCGTGTGTTCGGACATGGTAGCTCAACCAAATCAATGATAACCCTGCGTCATGGCTCGTCTTCTGATGCACTCCACAATGGGGCATATCCATAGCGCTTGATCCGATTAACTTCGCAGTCGTTGCATTCGTGATACACCTGAGATATATATTGCTTGAGCTTTGGGTGTACAATCCTGTACCTCTTGCAATCTTTCTCAGTCCTAACCTTTTCCATGTGCTTAAGTGCATGATTCTGCCATAACCACTTCAAAATGTCACCCTCCGTTGATCTTGCTGTATCAAATTCTGGAGGTGAGGAGTCCACTACTACATATCACCTGGACTCGAAGACTCGTCTCGTCCAGTCTCGCCTGAAAGGTCGGCCGTGTGAATTCTACTAATGTTCTCTTTGTCCATTAGTTGAGTTACAAGGTCGTATACATCTGGAAAATCGTTCATCAACTGTTTGAGTAGCTTGGTCTCGGCCTCGGCCTCGTATGCAGTTTCTCTGTCAGAACGTATCTTTTTACAGAATGCCTTCGCTAGTGATGAGTTCCTCTTTGCATCTTTAGGATTAGATTGTACATCGGTAATGCATACTGTAGGTGCGTGTGTCGCCCCAGCCTCTCGTTGAGACTTAGGTGTCAAGAGTGGAATCTTGGATTCTTCGACCTTACGTTTGAATGTCTCGGATGTTAACCATTTGGTTGTACCAACTGGATTTATTCGACATATCATTTTATGTCGCCAAGGAGTCTTCTGGACTGCACGGGTACCCTGGTACAGGAAAATATCTACCTCCATATCCACATATATGGGCTCACATTGTATCCTCGATATCAACTGTGATAGCCATTTATCCGAATGTCTTAGGGACAACACAACGTGATGGTAGCATCTTGTATATGAACATAATTTAGCAAATGTGGTATCAACAACCATGGTGTATTCGCCCATGCGTTCTCATCGGATAAATCGATTTGAAACCCATCACCGTCTGGATGTTCCAGAGTTCGATATCGCGGCAGTTGCGCATTATGATGTGCTGCAAACATATTAATGGTATGTGGTCCATGTATGTTGTCTGCAATTTTAAACCACCTAGGATTGGCCAACCAATCCGTAGCTAGCAATTCCCGAACCATCTTGTTGGAATCCGTACGAAGCGTGACAGCATATCCAGTGAATGATTGTGTATGCCCGGTATATGTGTTATGCTGAAAGAAAACTTTGCGATCGTATCGTGCCATCGACTGACCAATTATGAATCGTGTTTCATGTCCTTTAAATGTTGCAACGATTTCTGATCACACAGTACATTAAAATGTGTACCGTAAAGGTAGTCCTTAAAATGAGTGAGTGCGGTCACAATAGCTAGTAGCTCTTGTTGCACGGTCGGAGAATTGATTTGTGACGAGTTCATAGCCTTGCTAAAGAACTGCACGTATCTCGGTTTCCCGTCAATCATTTGATACAGAACACTTCCCAACGTCATGTCGGATGCGTCTGTAGCCACCATGAAGGGTACTCCATCTTTTGGTGGCTGGACTACTGGGGCTTGTTGAACCACTATTTTGAGCTGCTTAAAGGCATCATCACAGTCTTTGGTCCACAACGCTCCTATTTTGCCCTTGTGACATCTTAAATGCCCGAAAGGCTTCAAGTAGCTTGTGTGGAACTCCATCTGACAGGAAGTTAACGAAACCGCACATGCTGTTCACGTCCTTGCCTGTAGTGGGGGTTCTCCAGTCTATTAAGTGTTCTACCTTTCCGGGGTCGATCGTAATGCCTTCCCCAGATACACGATATCCCAACAGCTGTAGTTTGTTAAGCCTTTCCAGTACCTCTCTTACAACCCTGTCATGGTCCTCTTTAGTTTTAGTAAACATGACAATGTCATCGATATATACCTGTATTTTGTCCATGTCCCTAAATAGGTCGTGCATGATTTATTGAAAGAAGGCTGGTAGCATATGCAAACTAAAAGGGGCTCCTTTAAAAGAATACTGCTGTCCATCCCAAGTGAAGGTGAAATACTTCCGATGTGGTTTGTATATCTTCATTTAGCGGTAGCCTTGCTTCAAATCGATGGTTGAAAGTATTTTCGCTCCTTCCATTCTTCTCAGCAATTCAATAATTTTTGGTAAATGGAAATTATGTGTGGTAAAAGAGCGTTTATAGGACTCATATCCAAACATACGCGAACCTTCTTTAACGTGCAATCGGAGTTGAACTGGTCTACAGCTATGAGTGCTAAGTTGACAGGAGTAGGTTCGTAGTTGACTGCGATTACCCCGTCTTCCAACCATGCCTTGACTTGTTCTCGTACCACCTGTTCATGACGCCACGCTACGTAATTTCGCGTTGGACATTTCAACTTCGAAAAGTCTACTTTTGTCAAATCTAAGCTCACGTATCCGTTGTTAAATTTAAACTGAGCCCAGTCAGTGATCTTTATCTTGTCGTTCTCAAAGAGAAAATCCTTGAGCTTCTCTGTGAATTGGGGTATCACTTCTTTCACAGTCTTAGATGGCTTGTATACAGGCTTCAGCAGATTGTCGTCTGACTGATCCTTCTGTGGGTCAATGTTCGTCGGCAAACCGGTAATTGTTATACCTATCGATAACAGATCTCCCATCCCCACTATTAAATCGTAATCTGGCGAAGTGTTACAGACTGCTGCCTTAGTCACTGTGATCCGTTGATCTGTTAGGGTAAACCTCAAATCTACTGCCATGTCACGACACGTAATCTCCCTTTCGTCAGCTAACTTTAACATAGTAGGTTCTGATTTACGAGTTACATCAGTTATCTAACAGAATCTCGATGATATACATGAAATTTGTGAGCCCGGATCCAACAACGCTTTTATTTCATGCCCATTAACTTGTACGTCTAGGATGACGCGCTCATCTTGCGGTGCATCCTTTTGTTTCAGTGCCAAGATCCGGTAAGATTGTCACTTAACTTCTACTTTCGGTTGCACCTTACATATGTGTTTGTGGTAATCTCCAGTTCCTTCACAGTCTGCACAGTTCGCGATAAAATGTTTACATTTGTATGCGTGCCTGCCATTCCAGCGTCCATTCGGCTCATGTTGGGTTATGCGCCAGCTGCAACCTATCTCAGCACAGTCCTTGGTCTCCTTATACTTCGGTTTAGGAGGATCGGCTACCTGATTCGATCTATTGCCCAAGGTCCCGAGAGTGTTGACATTCTTCTTTTGACCATCAGCGCCTTACACTTGCTTGTTCTTATGGCGTCCTCTGTCACCGCCTTTGTTCCCTTTGTTGTTTTCCGTACCTGTATGAGAGTCTCGACCGTTACCTGTGGTCCTCCATTCGCGTTGGTTACCGTCTTCTTGGTAGACGGCGTGAATTTCACCACAGAACTCGGACGTTTCGAAAACGTCTGGTCTGCTCTCGAATAAGATTCAGTCCAAGTCAAGTCGGCGAGTTTCATGATGCCGTAAGTTGGCCCTTCAATTGAAATCTCACGTACCTTGTCCGTAAAAGATTGGTGCATATCTGCGTACAGCACTTCTTGGTCTTTTCTATGTAGAGCCGACCAGAAAATAGTTTGTACCCATAGCACACACATACTCAGCTTGTCTCGCGACATTTCTTGCGTCTGAGCACGTGTTATGTGAGTATCCAGTTCCAGAAGGTAATGTGACACTGGTGTTCCTTCGTCCGGTGGTACCATTATCGATACCAATAGTTCCGGCCTAGGATCGGTTGAGAACAGATGGACTATCATCTCGCTCTGCTCCCTCCACGTCGTTAGCTTTGTTATAGCAGCTTTAGCCTTCTCCAGATGACGGCTTAAAACTCTGTTGCGCAGCCTCAAACCATAGGTCTTACGTAAATCTGCAGTGAGCATTATTTGACCAAACTCTTTCAAAGATCGCGACAATAATGCTAAGTTACTCGTATCGATAGGGTCCTTACGGTCTTTTCGATCCGGACGATATGTAGTGGGTAACTTACCTATGTCCTTGACGATTTTCTTGACGATTTTCGATTTTCTTACTGTCCACTGACTTCTCGGCGTGTATGATGCGTAGCTCCGTACCGATCTTGGATTGAAAGTGCCTCGCCATTGTCATTCTCAAACTGGCTTACTCTAACTTTCTTTGATCCATCGCTAGCGTCGCCTCCTCTTCTGCGTTGAGCATTCGAGCAGTGAAATCAGCAATCTTCTTGTCACTCTCCGAAATCTCGTGAAATGGCGTGTTCATCTCCTTCAATTCGTGCAGTCCCTGATTGTCTCCATCGTCACCGTCATCCTTTCGTGCCTTCTTGCGAGTCGTCATCGTCGTCGATGTCTTCGACTGCTTGGCCGATGGCAGCAAGTAATCTGGTCCTGACGAGTCTGGTTCTTCAAATTCTGGCGATGATTGATCCTCGTCTCCGCCAGCTTCCACCGTAAATTTTCGTTTGCCGGTCTTCTTACGGTCTTTGTACTACTGGAATTCAGCCGCCAACTTTCGCAATTCGCGCAGGTAATCATCTGTGTCCCGGCCGTCTGATTCTTCTCCTCCAGAGTCTGATCCCTGTTCTGATTCAGATTTTGAGGTCCCTTTACCTTGTGGTGTTAGGTCTCCCGGTCCTTATTCTATCTGCTTGTATTTCGGCATCTCGTCTGCTGACTCTATCGGTGTATTTTTCTTCTCCTTAGATTTCTTTGATTTCTTGGGCTTGGTCTTGCCCGTTGTAATTTAAGTTTAGCTTCAGCCCTTGGTAATGAGCTAAAAGATTAGAGGATGTAAGACTGAGACTATTGTCTTTATGGCTCCGCTCTAATCACTCAATACTTCGGTCTAGATTTATTCAGTGTCAGTAACTAAGACCAGATTTCATTTCATTGGATGCTTGATATTTCATTCTATATCATTTCATGCCTCGAAACAACCTTCCAATCGCAATTACCAATAAAATAATTCTAAGTCCAACTTGAGAAAAATAAAAGAAATTAAATAACACCATGATGATACAGTTAAATGTCTTACCTATACCCCATCACATGGTACTTAGCTCTCCATCCCATTGAAGGCATAGACGGGCACATCTAGTTGGCCGGCTAGGGGAGATCATTTTCATGCCCCATTTCTCAGTAGGCTATCTCGCGCTGAGAGTATTTGGTAATACAACATGAGTCATCAAGTGTCAATATCACCCGAGACTCACCCAGTGTTGTATCCCAATATTCTGATGGAAAACATATCATTGTAGAAAAACCATCATATCGATATCAACAGGGTCTCCGGCCTCTGTCGTATACAATTGTAAATCCAAATATCCAAACTAGATTATTTGTTTGTTTGTTTTCTGTAAATTCAATATTTCTATAATTAAATTATTTGATTATTATACAGATACAATTATCTATAATTGCGTTTCAACGTATACCAGGTTTTACAACTGTAATAGCGTATAAATGTTAACACGTTTATAATATACGTTAACATGTGCTTCTACTATAGGAACCCGCTGATTTTACAATTAGTAGCTTTATAAACCTATAATTATTCACTTTTAAAGTGATATAGATTTTAGAATCTAAATCAATATATTAGTATATTGAAACAACACACAAGAATTGTCAAAATTGATAAATAGCACTTACGTGTTGATTTATTGATAAGCTTAAAAGCTGTAAATTTATAAGTTTGCACTTACGTGTTAGGTTATAAATACTACTTACGTAGACGAATTTTAAAATTCAACCATAAATATAGCTGCTATTGACTATAAGCACTTCCGTGCTGATTTACAAATTGCACTTACGTGTGATTTTAGAATCAACTTAATTTACTATAGTGTAATGGTACACTAGGCAAATCTCTATAGTCTACTTTGAAGTAGACTGAAAAAAATCAGATATCAGAAAAGTATAAATACAGGAGACTCGCCTTGAGCGACTTCAGTTTGAAGCATGCCTCCTAAGAGGCACTTCAAGAAGAAGAAGCCAGAGTCGCCCTCAGCGGCTAAACCGCCAAAGCGAGTTAAACACTCGACTTTCCTTATGGAAGCTATGTCTAAGAAGACAAAAGACTCTTTTAAAGAAGCAAATGCTTCTAAAAAAGCAGAGGTTACTGAAGTAACAAGTGCTTTTAAAGCACCTGATGTTCCACTAACATCGCAAGTTGCTAAAGCAACAAGTGCTTCTAGAGCACCTGATCTATTAGTGAATACATCTCCTGAGGAAGAAGAAGTAGTTGGTCAAAGGCAAACTAGAAGTCAATCTAAAGAGATTGCTCGTTCTTGAAAGAACACTGAAGCTGGATCATCTTTAGAAGATAGTACACAGGCTATGGACGTAGATCCTAAGTCAGATGAGAATCAACCTTTAAAGGTTCCTCCTCACCAGACCTCTAAAGGTCAACATTCGCTATTTTCAGATAGTGAAGAGGAGTCAACTCCTATAAATAAAAAGACTCAAAGTGCAGTAGTGGGCAGCTCTACAGAAATGCAAAGTAATGAGCCATATGAAAACCCAAAGGCTCTATCATCCAGCTATGATGATTCTTTAGAGATGATTCAAACTGGAGTAAAAAGGATGTCTTCAAGCGAGGTACGTCCTCGAGTTCAGGCAGCTGAACAAGAACTTCAGAGTTCTAAACCACGTGCTTCACAGCACATCGAAAAGTCTGAATCAGATGATGACGACAAAGGAGCAGGAAACGCTTCTACCCGCCGTTACCGGAAACCGAGTACAACCCATTCGAAATTAGAATCCAGTAAAGAACTTCAGAGTTCAGCAGAGATTCTGTTTCTACATCCACCTAAAGCTTCAGAAGCTAAATCAAACGTTGCTCAAGCTAATACAGCTAAAGCTGCTAAAACCGCAGCTAAGAAAGCTCAGACTAAAAAAGCTAAGACTTCTACCGTTAAGGCTAAGTCTGATGTTTCAAGTAGTAAAGGTAAGGCTAAATTACATGAAAATGTAAAAAAGCCAACGTTCTCCAGGACGAAAAGACATCTAGATACATATGTCAGTAATGGTGAAAGTTCCTTAGAACATAGTGAACATTCGAATGTACACATAGTTCTAATTCAGCATCATCAGGTCATTTGAGTGACTCTATGAAAGCTGTAAGTTCTTCTTCAAAGAAGAGGCTGCACTTACCGGTTTTAGAACCGATTGCGAAATTATTGGTAAATGTACCTGATCGTAGATCAGAATATACTCCACTCCTAATTCAGCAAGTTATCATACAGCATGCATAGAACATTACTCTAAGGCGAGAGATATCTATGAGAGAAGAATCATTACAACCATGCGGAGACAATGCATAAACGCATTGAGTTCCACACGGGGCTTGTCTCAGGACAAGCAAGATCCACCGTCGAACACTTAAGTGATCGATCATCGTAGACAAAGAATGTCAAAGACAGAGAACTTGCTTTAAAAATCATCTGTAATAACAAAAGAATGTTTTAGGGTTTTAGGGTTTAAAGACCTTTGTACTCGATTTTGACAATCGCCTAAATCAGCTTTGTAGGCAAAGCTGGGCCAAGGGCCAACGCAGAATATTAGAAATAATATTTATGCACGTGATATCTAATCGTATGAATAGAGAGCATCACGACAACAACGCATACTTAGTTACAAAACTTTTCTGCGGTTGTCGATGTTGAAGTGTTTAACCACTTATAACGAAATGCGTATCCTGTAAATTTCTCGTATGGGAATGAGCTCTTCTCGTTGGTGGGTATAGCATTGTATATCTTGGTAGTTTAAATCAGTGATTCGGCCCACATTGTAGTCGGTAGACGTGCAAATTTCAGTTGTGCAAGCATTCTAGGGACCAGTGTACTATGCAGTCTCTCTACCCTGCCATGATATGAGGCGAGGCGGTAAGTGCATACCTTGAGCAGTATCCCAAATACGCAAGCATGTGCCTAGGTACGATTGCTGTAAACTGTGAGCCTCAATCTATTTGTACGCACTGAACTCGGCGACGAGTTAAAATTATACCATTCATCGAATGTGAGTAGCATATCGTCAAGAATTGCTGTTGCTTAAAGATCGCGGATTGGGAACTCTTTGGCCATGCTAGAAAAATCGTCTGTGTTTGATACAGAGCGGGTATTGGATCCAATTGACATGGCAAACGAGCCTATTATGTCGACGAAGACTAACTCGAGAGGCTCTGTGGCAGCTTCGTGCTGTCGTTCTTTGTTGATATTCTTGTTCTTCATCTTTGCAATAGTGCATGCTTTGCATCGTTCCTCTGGTTGCCTTATATATATAGGGTAAATATTTTGAGACGTAGCTGAGGTGCACGAGCTTCTAGGGATGGTTCCACTGTAGTCATAGATATGTCGTAGATGTACTCGCAGTATATTCTGTGCTTTTCATGCATTGTTATGGTTTCGAAGCTTGGTAGTAATATATACAACATGTTGTCCGGGAATTCAAATGAGTAGTTTCGCGCTGAGAGCAGGCTGATACTTGGTAGTGCAGTTTTGAATGTCATATTGATGAGTACGTCCTCCATGTCTCCTAGCTGAGGCACATACTTCGAATAAATGATTGTACCATCAGCTACTTCGAGTGCATACCGGTCTTTAATGCGCATGTTGCGGACGACATGATGCTTGTGGTACTTATAGGGAAGTACGTGTATGGTGGCGCAATTATCGCTAGCTAGTTGGTATCCACCTCTGGGATCTCTGCCTGATTGATCGTTCACCTTGTTGTCGATTGCAGGGTTAATTGTGGAGAATGCAATCTGTCTGTTAGCAGGTAGTTGGTAATCAGATACCTGTGCTGACATTGCTTTAGCCTGTCTGCCTTCATGACTTTGGCGTCGATTGTTCTAGTATCGGCATGTTCTATCACTGTCTTGTGAACGTTGGGTATCTCATGAATATCTACCATCGTCGCAGTCGCGTCGATTGTATCTATCAACTCGGTAGTCCTGTCGGTCATGATTATCGTGATTATCGTAGCGGTATTGGTAGCGGTTGTTTCAGTTGTATCGTTCCTCTCGTTTACTGTAGCCACGATTTGAAATCAGTTCGGCTATGCTTGACATTATGCTTGTATATATATTTGTAGTCTCTCATGTCCTGACGAGGACCAGGCCTGTCAATCCGTCGATCGTAAGGGTTCATGTCCGTCGTGGTCACGACCCTGATTACGTGGGTTGCCAGCAACGCATGATTTGATAAACGCTGGTAGCTTACGGCATTGCCCGATGGAATGTCCACGATTGTTGCAGAATGCACAATCTCCTTTCGATATAGCTGCATGTGCACCGTGCACAATGGCTGATGGGTCACTTTCGTCTGGATCCAATACGATGAGATACGTGGTGAGCTCATTTTACGACATGGCCATCATATCGGGTGTCTTCAGCGTAATTTTAACAGTCTGACTATCGTCGCTTACAGCCTGCCGTAGAATAGCGCATAGGCTGTTGTTGGACTTACGAACCTCCCGGCGTTTTTGAATGTTAGAGTGCAGTGTTGGGGACTTTAAGTAAAGTGCAAATGTATCTAAAGTATGGTGCATTCGAAAGAATTTATATATGATCTCGCCCTCAATTATATACTGATGATGTTTGTGCTAGTGTTCAACCACTTGGGTTGGCCAGGGTAAAAACTCATATGATCTGTATGAGAAACCTTATGCAGAACACTTTAGCACTCGGATAAATTTTCCAGAAATATATATAGCATATTCTTTATTACTACACTCAGTCTCGGACCTCGGCTATCGGTTAGCCGGTGGCCCGTATCCTATAAATATAATAATATGAGAAGATGTTCTCTCGGGCTGACCCACCTATACTTATATTAATTTGAGAACAAGTCCCAAATTTCTCTCGGGCTGACGACGTAAAACGTTATTAACGTATAAAGAAATATGTCTACTACTGTAGTCTCTCATTGAATTTTGCAAAAGCCGTGTTGAGACGACTGATAAGACTGGCGCAAGATTCGTTCCGTTCTTGCGCGATGCGGTTCAGTTTCCCTTCTATCCTCGGTCAGGGCTTCAAACTTGCGTTGCAGTGCGGCGAAAGCTTCCCACGGCATATCAATGAATTGACTGATCTCCGTCTGCAGATAAGGGCGGTTGATAATTCGATAATCCTCAGCGATTTCCTTGGGTGTCCATCGGTTGCCTCTAGACGGGTCGGATAGGTCAATTTTGTTTCCTTCACAATTCACGGATTGAATGGTCCGAGTTTCCAAGAAAGCCAGTCGACATTTGTTTCAAGAATAGTGGGGGTCTTAATGTCCTTAGAATCCACATTTGGCATATTGATAGCGCGAGCTTCACCTTTGGTTTTATATCTAAGGTGTTTGTGCTAGTGTTCAGCCACTTGGGCTGGCCAGGGTAAAAACACATATGGTCAGTATGAGAAACTTTCTGCAGAACATTTTAACACTTCGATGCTATTCTTTTTCGACTTCTCTGCAACTAAATCTCACACTGATCACTGACTCACATAGAACCGCAGCTATTTTTAGAATGTTGCGGTTGGCATACTTAATCCATTCTCGGGTGTCGGTTGATAAACTTAATCTGCTCTCGGGAGTCGGTTAAATATTAACTCAACTCTCAGGGCAACTTGATTAGCTCTTGGGAGTGAGCTATCTCTGATGACATATATATAGGGGTTCTTGATGTAATTTCTAGTCTGAGACCTGTAGTCTCTCATTCCCACACGCTCAATACAGGAAATGATTCACATATTTGGTACAGCAGACTTTCCACACAAAGAATATAGAAAAAATTACACACACTAAGTACAGTTAACTTTCACACACAATAAGGAAAACTTTACACACGTTCAATACAAGAAACTGTACACACGCACAATACAGAAAACTTTCCGTTCAATAAAAATCATACTCGATACAATTAATTTCCCACACAATGAATTCAGAACACATTCCACATACTGAGTACAGTTAACTTTACATATACAAAATGAATACTGTCCACATGCTCAATACAGGATAATTTCCACACACTCAATACAAAAAACTGTACACACACTCAATACAGGAAATGATTCACGTACTCGATACAGTAGACTTTCCACTCAATCAATACAGAAACCTTTCCACACACAGAATGCATTATTAAACTTTACACACACACAATTCAGGAAATTGTCCAAAAAGTTTCACAAAAATCAAGACAAAACTTTACACACACTCAATGTAGAAAACTTTACATACACTCAATAGTAGACATTCCCCCCACTCAATAACAAAAAACCTTTAACACACTTGATGCAGTAGATTTTCCGCACACAAAATACAGAAAAATTCACACACATTCAATACAAAACTCTTCACACATACTCGATACAGTAGACGTTCCACATACTGAATACAGAAGACTTCCACATACTCAATACAGTAGAGATTCCACACACATTACATATTTCAAGACATAATTTTTTTCACACACTTGATACAGAAACCTCTCCCGAACTCAACACAAAAATTACTGGATCGATAGAGGAAACCTCCCACATACTCGAGACAAAAGTCTTTCACTTCACGCTCGATATAGTACACTTTGCGCACAGTTGATACAGGAAGTTTTCCACACAGTTAATACCTTGGCTTTTCCACTATCGATCAGATAACGGATGTTCCAAATAGGGATAATATATTTTCTTCTTCAAATCAAAGTCACCAAATAGCAGACGATAATTTAGCATCACGCTGTCCAGTTGCGATTTATAGGAAGTCGGAACGATACGCGCCTTGTATACAAATTAGGAAAGCCGATAAATGTTTTATTATGATTTATATTTGAATTTTATTGCGCGCGTCCCACGGGCCCTTGACTGGCCTGCTCCCGAATTTTTTCTTGAATCACCGATGAGATTGCTGAGAAAATCAAAATAAATAGAATAGCAATATGAACAAACAAGCAAAAGTAGAGATTGTTTAGAAATTGCAGATAAAAAATATGAGAACAGCTGAAAATGATGAGTACGCGCACAAGGTACGGCGTATCTAAATGTGTACACATTCGAGTTCTCAAAGTGTCCTTTAAGGCATACTAGCATGTAAACAACTCGTCGATACACACACACACAGTCACACACAGTCACACACATACACAAGAAAAAAACAAACAAACACACACACACACACACACAAATACACACAGACACAGACACAGACACAGACACAGACACAGACATATATATAAATAAATAAATAAATATATATGTATATGTTTTAGGGAAAACCCTAAAAAAATGTATAAA